ATACGACCACTTCCAAATTTCCGGAATTATCTATTTCCTCTGGGTGCAACTATAATATTTGAATGTGACTTATCGTAATGCATCCATTTAATGCAATTATCAATTGTATCCAACACAAGAGTTGGGTTATTCAGGAACCAATCAGTCCTCATATCAGAGATTTTATATATGGCATCTCTATTTCTCCAAACTTCACTAATAATATTTGTTGGGATAACTTAAACAATTCCTCTTTCAAAGGCTTCTACTAGAAATTTTTTTTTGCAAATGATGTCACTTTTATTTGACATTCCTTGGTCTGGCATAAAAAATACTCTTTGAGATTCTTTGTTCACACTTGGATGGCCTTAAGGCTAGGTTAGAAAACTGTCGATGAACTTTCTAAAAGAAACATACAAATTAAGGATTCCTCATGCACTTTTTGCCATGGTTGCACTGAAACACTATCTCACTTGATATTTGAATGTGATTTTCTTGTATGGGTTTGACAAAATTAATCCGCTACTTTCAAAACTTCTACCTAAGGCCTACTATCTTTCAAGCTCTTGATCACATTGGAGGTCTGTCTGTGGATGATAACCTCAAAAATGGCATTCTCCTCATCCTTAATGCCACAGTTTATTTCCTTTGTTCTGAACGTAATAACAAGTGATTTAATTTCAATGCCGTCTGCGCTGTTACATTATCGAAAAAGATTTTTAGAGCAATCTATCTTAAGATTAAAAGATGGAAAAATGGCGAGTTTTTGAAGAAAAAGTTTAATATGAAGCACATATGAGCTCTTATATTTATTGTTTCAGTGGCTATTTCCATTTGCTCTTGGGAGGAAGTTTAATGTCAGCGTTGATCTGTTGAGTTTGGAGAACTGAAGTTGGGGAGATTTCATTGGTTTATTATTTTTTTTTTTTTAGGGTTTAGGGTTCCAGACGGTTCTCACATCCTTAATTTGTACCGCGCTCGGTATCATTGGTTTATTTGATGCATCTTGTGGTTGTTTTAATAGAAGTTTTTGACTTTTTGGGTGGCAACGAGGTATATTGGACGTTTTTATTGAAGGCTCTGGTTTTTTTTTTGTCTTCATGGAAGCTAGAGGCTTTGCTTTGGTTCTCTATGGGTTATTTATGGATTGCTTTGCTCTGTGGGCTTAACCAATTTCGATGCTTCACTTGCTGCCTCTCTCCAACATAGATTATTCTATGCAGACACCGGACGTGAGAACCGTCTAGTTCCGTGCTCGGTACCAAGCATTGGATACCGAGCGCGGTACATTTTTTGGGGCGACGTGGCGTATTTTTATTGGTTTCCGGATAAATCCGGACCCGCACGTACTAAATTTTCCTGTTCTTGACTCTGTTTTGCCAGGCAGGCTTAATTTTGGTCCTTGGACAATGATGAAACTTGCCTCTTTCTCCCTTTGGATGGTATTCGTGCAACCTATGGAGACCATGACCAGGTTTCTATGATTACAATTTTATTTTATGAGTCCAGGCCAGATAAGATATCTATATGTTTTTGTATTTTTGTTTTCTAATATTTTCATTGGGTAGTTGTATTTTGTTCTTTTTTATTTTGTCCAGCCTCAGGTTTGTTGAAGGCTGGTTTTTGATTTACACATATACACCCCAATTTCGATTTTATAGAAATGAGCGGAATTTAAAAGGAGTTTTGTTTTTTTTGGATATCTATTTTATCTTCACATAAAAAAAAAAAAATTACAATTAAGTTTCAAATTTATTTATGCTTAGGAAACTCGGAAGGGGTAAAATGACATAAAAGTCAGCTGACAGATCAAAATATATTCAAGTGTATTACTTGTATATATGTCATGCATCTTTGATGATTGAGGGTTATGATACAGTTAATTTAGAGGTGAAGCTTATAATGAAAAAATATATTAATTACTAGGATTATAGGGAAAGAAGTTACTATTTAACAAAATTAGTGTTAATTGAAGAATTATAATTTAATGAGAGACCAGTAATAAGAAATAGAAGGGCACCAAAATGATTAGGTTTTGCTAATTAGACTACTTTTGCTCTTATAGATTTTACACAATTGTTTTGAGGAGGATATGATTATACATAGTTATAATAAGGCATGTCTTAGTGGAAGTATGTTTGAAGGATTCTAAAAAATGTAAAATAGATGTTATCAAATTAATTTCATCTCCTTTGAGTTCACAATTCACACTTTCAATTTTGTACTCATCACTGGCTAAGCAAGATTAGATGTATATATTGATATAGTTCTATATATATGCTAGTGCCATTAATAATCTCATATATTTTATGGTGTATACCATATATATATATATATAGAAAAAGATAATCAATACATTAGACTCAAAAAGGGTTACAACAGATACAGAACCAACACAATAAAAAGGGTACACCAGATAAAGACCAAACACAAAAAAAAAAAGCTAATTGAAACCAAGAGAGGGCTCAGTAATCGACCGAGGCTCCCAGCATCCCCGAAGCCTTGCACGGACCATCCAATAAGGTGAATAAAGCGCACCAGTTGATCTAACACAATTTGAGAACATCACCAAAGTTTGCCACCAGCTAGACGACTAGGACACGAGCCCCAGTCACATCATTGCCCCACAATCCTCCTCAACGACCAAACAAACAGATAAGCAATCCAGATAAAACAATAGGGAAAACTCATTATTGAAAAAGGGGTTATCTTCTTCTCCTGCCTCTCCCACGAAATTTCCCACGAGATGCAACAGAGAGGACAGGTCTATCTTGAACTAGTTTAAACTCGTTTCTAGGGTCAGAGCCACCGCAATAATCCAAATATGAATTGGATTCAGATTCATATTCAGACGAACAATGCAACCAATCAACATGGGACCTTACATCCAATCCAGAACTAACACCCACATGATACATCAGTGCTTGGGTGGCCATCAAATTCACCGGCACATTAACAACATTATTACAGCAAACCACTTGCCCAGCTGTATTTTCCACCCGTCCACACACCTCGTTGAGATCCACAGGCACAACAGTATTTTCCACCCTTCCACAATCCTCCAAAACAGGAGAAGCAACATTATCCAACCCACAGGAATCCCCATTAAGACTTAGCCTCGAGTCAGACAAAACCGAAGCATCGACACCCAAAACAGGCACCAGGACGTCGCAGGATCTAACTAAACCAAAACAGGACAACAACCCGAAACATCACTATTTTCTGACACCAGAGCTGCGACCGGAAGAACTCCATCCTCCACACCAGGCAACACACCCAAATTCTCACCTGCCAACGGGGCAAGCGATCCCATAGCACCAGGAGAACAAACTGGTGAGTTAACAGTGGGCAAGGCAGCGGGCACAACCTCAGTATTAGCAATATCACTTCCCAAAACCTCCAGCATAGAAGGAGCAGCGACAATATCAACATTTTCAACACAGTGGGGGGCTAAATTTACTTTCGGGATAGAAGAATCGTTAGGAATCAAAGCTAAACCAAAACAGGACAACAACCCAAAACATCACTATTTTCCGACACCAGAGCTGCGACCGGAAGAACTCCAACCTCAGCACCAGGAAACACACCCAAATTCTCACCTGCCAACGCGGCAAGAGATCCCATAGCACCAGGAGAACAAACTGGTGAGTCAACAGTGGGCAAGGCAGCGAGCACAACCTCAGTATTAGCAATATCACTACACAAAACCTCCAGCACAGAAGGAGCAGCGATAATATCAACATTTTCAACACAGTGGGGGGCTAAATTTACTTTCGGGATAGAAGAATCGTTAGGAATCAAAGCCGAAGCAGGACGACAATTACCCGGAGTATGTCAATACATTTACATGCAGCACAGAAATGAGGAAATTCATCTAAAACCACCTCCTGGACATAACCTAAAGTTTCAGAACCTAACCAAACTTGCTTAGGATAAGATTTTGTTATGTCAAGTTCGACTAACACACGCGCATTTGAAGGACGGGAACCAACAGAAGTTGCTTCATCAATTTTCAAAGGCTTGCAAAAAATCTCACCAAGCCCAAAAAGAATGCATGGGGAGAAGAAGTGAGGACGAAGACGCGGAAACGAAATCTAGATCGGGATAACCGGCGACTCAACACCGATATCCAAGCTAGGCGACCATTTTGTTAATTTCATATAGCAATTAGAGACAAGGTATGATCGGTGACAAAATACCCTACAGTAATCGAGATCGTTGGATAGCTTGATCAAAATGTGAGAGGGATCCAACACAGTAACAGAGACTTCACCTTTAAGCTTCAAATTTAAGAAAAAATTTCGAATAGAGTCAAGAGAGGGTCTCTTAGAAGGGAAAAAATCAATTAACGAGAATTGAAATGGGGCAGCAAGATCATTGATTTCTTGGTCGGAAATCCATAAAGACGGCAAACCACGGAACGTAGAAGTCCGCAAATTCGGAAAAGAAGGCGTAGAACCAGCAAGAGCCTCAAGAAAAGAACGAGAATGAGAAACCCCTCCTAAAAAACCAGGGTCCTTAAGATTACTAGGCGCCATACCGACATCGCCGGCGAAAATGAAGAAAACCAACCAAAATAGCCTCCAAAGCAAAAGAAGAAACCAGGAAAGGAGAAAACTTCCCAGAATCCAGGAGATCGCCGGAATAGAAGCCCCAGCAGGGCGGGGGAAATCCCGGAGCTAAGCGAACCCTAGCAGAGCGGCCAAATGTATACCATATATATATAACTTATGTGACGAATATTTGAATAAGAAACAAATTTCTCCTTAAGTAACAGGACAGAAATTATTTTATTTGAATAAGAAAACTAATCATATAAGATACAATTCCTTCCTCCACTCTCTAGAAACAAATTTCTCCTTAAACATCCTACATATAGATCCAACTAAAGCCTAAAACCATCACACCTCCAATAACCCCATATTACAAAAAAATGACCTGAGAAAGGTCATTAAATATAAAAACACATCTTTAAAAGAACTTCTTGCGCCTTCAATAAAAAAAAAAAAAAAAAAAAAAAAAAAAAAAAAAAAAAAAAAAAGACACCAACATAAATATTACATGATCCACCTTTCTCCAAGCTTATCTTGAGAGGCATAAGATTTGTTTGGGCCGGCTTTTTTACTATTTTTTAAAGTAACTTTTTTGTACAATATTTTTAACTTTTGTACTAAAAAGTTGCTTCAGTAAGAAAGCTGTCACAAACGAAGCCTTAAAGTGGGCGAGTGCGGCGGCCAGCTGCCCTGCCGCAGAGGAGCGCATTCTTCGGAATAGGAAACTCATCCCTGATGGATTGAACTGGAGAATAGACCCTCAGGTAAAATTGTTGGCCAAGGTACTGACGAGCCCAGAATTCTGTCCTCACATTCCACATCCCTTTGTTATCTAAGGCGACATAGATCGCCGTCCATGATTTTGGATACACCTATTTGTATTCGTCATTAATGGCTGGTTAGAGACAACTTATGTAGTTATTCAAAGATGTACCTATTTCAGTTATGTTTGTTTCAACTCTTACCTGCGTTGTGCAACGCGATACTGCGTCCCTCAGGTTATACTCGTTGCGGCTCGCAGCGCTCCATGTCCCTCCATCCATTCTGCAAACAATGATAGCACCATGCATTAGGTTGACAGATAATAAAGTCCAAAAATTAAAATTTGATCAAAAGTTAAAATTAAACATAGATTAATTTGTGATTTCAAGCCAAGAATTAATTTTAAAAAAGCCCCCCGACTATTCCTATATGATTATTTTAGTCATAGAATACCAAGAATTAATTTTAAAATAGCCTCCCCAGAATAACTTTAAAAAGGCCCCCCCCCCCCCCCCCCCCCACCCACTATTCCTATATGATTATTTTTGTCATAGAATATAGTATTGCTATGATTTAGTTCCTCCACTATACAAAATTGATTCAGAATAATCATTTTGAAAATAAATTATGATCAATTTGTGAAGTCGATAGACTAAATTATGACTAATTTTGAACAGTCACGTGACTAAATTGAGACAATATAAAACTCGGGGACTAAATTGGCTATATGAATTGCCTGGAGATTATTTAAAAAAAAATAAAAAAGGTAAAAATAAAAAATAAAAAAATAAAATAAAATTTGAGCTTACCCAACAACCCAGAAAGAGTAGCCATCGATATGCCAGGTCTGCACAATTCTCTCATGGTTCTCGAATACGATCTCGATGAAGGCACGGTAATCAGCAGGCAAAACGGAAGTGTCGAGATAAATGCCCTGGCCTGTGGGGCTATCGGCAATACTGCCAATCCGAAATACGCCGGAAATGTTAAAGTAATCGGCGATCTTCAGTGGCGTATCGGCGGGGATGAAGGACACGCTGTTCACCGCATAGCGCTGCTTGCCGTTCACCAACCCGGCCGAGCTGGCGAGCCGGATGGTCCGGGTGGTGTTGATCAGCCCATAGTGATATGAACCCTGCGGGTTCGGCCTCGGCCCGCTCGCTGTCAAATTTGTCCTGTTCAAAGCCCATGAGAAAAAACGGTGGCGATGTGACCAAATTAATTTTATTTCCTTCAATAATAACTTCTTATAAAAGACATTCTCATTAATTTTAATTTATTAAAAAAGTAAAGTAAAATAATTTTATATCATTTAAATGTAATAAAAATATCATATAACAATCATTCAAGTTATCATAATTAAAATTAGATGAGGATTTTTTTTTTGAAATAAAATTATAAATAACACGTGCTTTAAATTTTACAAAAAGATTGCATTTTTAACTAAAAGATATTTTCTCATGCTACGGTAACCAACAATATAATATTTTATTATTATTATTACAGAATTCATGGTCATGGACTGTTATTTGTGTTGGATTGCTAAAGGCGCAATTACCGGATGGAGCGGGCCTGGTTGAGAGACCAGTCAATTTGAATCGTCGGCCCGGAGGGCGGCGGGCCGGAAACAGGCTGGTTGGAGTTGGAGTAGTGGAGGACGGCGGTGGAGGTGAGGACGGTGGTGGTGAAGCGGGTGGAGACGGCGATGTAGTAGTCCTTGGGGGGCTGGTCGGCGGTGACCAAAACGGATACGGACTGGCCCTGGTGGACGTCAATGGAGGTGTAAGTGGTTTGAAGGGTGTGGGTCCCCTCCACTTCGACGAGGATCAGTTTGTGGCCATCGATGCGGAAGTTGAGGGAGTGCTCTAGCCCCACGTTCGATATCCTAAGACGATACGTTTTGCCTGTAGGCAGATGAGTTAGTAGTGACTGGAAAATAATTTATTTTAATTAGAAAAAAAATTTGATTAAAATATATTATTACATTTTATAAGATATTTTGATTTGAAATAAAATGGATCTAAAATAATTATTTTATATGAGTGTTAAAAATAATGATATTTGATTGGATGAAAAATAAATGCAGATTAAATAAAAGATATAGTTTAAAGAGTTCTAGATTATTTTTGAGATAAATTAAATTCGTTTAGGTTTCGTTTGGGACGTCTTTTTTACTGCATTTTAAAACAATTTTTTAGTATAAAAATTAAAATTTATGGACAAAAAAGCTACTTTAAAAAGCAATAAGAAAGCCGTCCCAAACGAAGCCTTGTTTTGAGCAAACATCATTTTCAAAGCAAGCAACCTCTCTTGCCGCCACCCACTACTGCCACTGTCAATGTCGCCTAACATTGGCATCATCTTTAAACTTTACATTACATTCATTTTACATTATATTCAAATGCATTTATTTTATACTCATCCAAACAACAACAAAGTATTTCTTTTATATATGCTGCGATTTTTTAACATTGCATTCCATTTCATCCAACCAAGCAGCCTATAAAATAAAAATATCTCAATCCTAAGTCCATCTTAATTGCAACTAGTTTTTGGGTCAATCACATTGAGGTTGATCATTCAGCACATCCTAATGACAAGATTAAGTTTCTCTAACTAATCTATATTTACAGTATTGTAATTATAGTTGACTAACTAGTTAAGATTTTGTAAGTTAGATTGAGATATATATCATTTATTAAAAAATAATTATTTGATTACTAGATAAAAGAACAAAATAAAGAACATCTTTTTAAAACTCCATTGGCTTTCAAATTAAGAGAGTTATAGAGTATTTTATGTTTTCAGCTACTTACCTTGATCAACTGTGATGGTGTGCCCGTTGGGACCACGACCATTGATGAGAATGCCGTCCGGGAAAGGGAGCCTCTTGCCAAAATCTAGTTTAGCCTTCAAATTCTACAGATCATGCAAAAGACTGTCAATCACTTCCATGATCGAGTGGGCCTCAAAACCAACTAGTTATCGATATTAAGCTCCAATGAAATAATGTTAAAATGTTGCACAAAAAGTCAAGCTCTAGTTGGAAGGATCCAACCTTAGTTAGAGCATAGAAGTTTACAAGGTAGTAACAAAAGCTCTAATAAAACTAGGTTTAAGCAAACTAATAACAAATCCAATAAATTTACCTACAAAAGGACTAATATTTTTCTCCATTATGTATTTTTCTAACATTTCCTAAAGGCTCTTGAGGGAGGAGCATATCTAAATTTGATTAAAGATCTGAAAATTATCATATTTACCTTATAAACAATAAATGATGAATCTATCATGCAACCCTACTCTAAAATAAGCTTTAAATAATTCATAATGAGCACATTCATGACAATTCTCACTTTTATCCTTAGGGTAGAACCTTGATCAAATATTCTACAAATAAAAAATTATGGATTTGTGACCGTGAACAGTAAAATCACTGTTACTATTAATCTTTTCACTTTTACTGTTTACTGCTGCACTTTTACTGTTCACATTCACAAAATCGAACAATTCTCTGTGTCCAGATTCCACATGTAATGATCTCTCCATATTTACAGCCCTAATTACTGTTCTTGTTTATAGTCTTTGTCGAGCATGTAATAAAGGATAAGACAAAACAAGGAGTTCCTCTCATTTGGCTTTGTGAAAGCCCACCCAATGGTGCTAGCGGCCAACAACCTTCAATTTATCACTAATTCAGATGATACACTAGCTATGATTGCCTCTCTTTACCAAATATAAATCTACCACAATTTCTCGTTTATAATTGACGAGAGATGAGAGCTGCACAAATCAAATATATACACTCTCTCCGTCTTAGATTTTTTTTCCTTCTAATTTCGTTAAAATGTTTTAATTATGTTAAAATTGATAGCTCTTTTATGTTATCAAGCATATAAAAAACAAATCTTATGGGCCTCACAAATTCTCAAAAAACGCGTGCGTATTTTTACAAGTAATGAGGTGCACAAGTGCATTCCCTCCTGTCACGCAGTCCATGTGGGAGACTTGCAAGGAAGCCCGTGAGTGCCATGTGGTGTACTGTAAACTAAAGCAAACAAAAGAGAGAAATAAATATCACATTGTAGCTTCCTGCTGAAGTTCATAGTAGCTTACTGTGTGGTTAGCCTTGTACCAGTCGCCGATGAGGACTGTGAAGTCGCCGGCGGGTTCGTCGAAGGGGACGGGGATGAGGGGGCGGCTGAGAATGCGGATTCCGCCGAAGCCGCCGGCGGCTCTGTGGAAAGCCAGCGATGGGAAGTAGAAGAAACTGCCGATCTGATCCTTCACTTGCAGAATGTAGGTGAAGTTTTTGCCCGGCGGGATCGGACATGTCGTGCCGTACACGCCGTCCTCGAATGAGTTCCTCCGTTGCTGCACCCCGTTCCTGTCGAACCAACATGTGCACCAATCAATCAGAGCCGTTAGAATTCTTCAAAAGAAAACGTCAAATTTGAGTGTCGGTGGCCGCATGGTGCCACACAGCTGGATTGATTAGGCTCGTGGGAAGAAGAGTTTGCCATTATTTGTTGTCTGGCTTTCGTAATAACAAATGGTGTTAAGATATTATAAAGTTTAAGGTTACTTTTCCTTCTTAAAACACGGAAAAAATAAATATTTTGTTAAATTTCTATACACTGAAATCCAGAATATAAATGAATGATAACCGACCTTTCAAATGACAAAACTGCTTTTTTATTTGCTTCCCAATGTAAATGAGGAACTTTTATATATGATGTTTAATATATTTTGAAATAAATTAAGAATATTTTGTTTAAAATTTTAATTTTTTAAATATAATATAGTTTATTTATCCAAAATAAAATCAAAGTTTTTAAACCCATCCTAATTATTTTTATCTGGATATTTTGAAGTAATTTTTTTTTCTTAAAAATTCACATTTAAATTAAAACATCTTAAATAATTTCAAGTTGAACCAATAAGAATCGTCAAAGCTCTCCCCATTTTAATTGGACAAAAAAATTAAAAATTGAATCATAATGAGTTTCAGAAATTACAAACCATCCAAAAAATTAACTGTTGGTCAGAAAAAAATGTCTGTTAGACCGTCAACATCCACAACCCCACAAGCCAGTGCACCAAGCCATAATTTGTTCCCAGCACAGCATAATTTGTCTCTAATACTAACCATCTAAAAACATTATTTAAATTCATAAAGTAGCTCAAGCTTATTATATATAACTTGGATGACTACAGTATTTTGGTTGCAAAAAGTAGCTTTTTATACTTTTTAAGTTTCTTTTAAGATGACTTTTTTATTGATTCTTAAAACCGTTTTATAGTAAGAAAGCCATCCCAAATGAAGCCTTAGTATAGAAAATTTTAAAAATTAATAAGAAGCCAGCAGCTAAGAACTAGGAGCCGAACAAAATTGCAACGGCTGTCAAAAAAGCAACTATATAGCTGTCCTAATTAGGCCATATGATTGATATAATTGGATTATAAGCTTATCATAATCTATTGATTGAAAGATTAAATTTTTACCCAAAAAATTATAAATTTCAGCCTCATATTTAAGATGTGAATAAATTTATGATCTAACATGCTCAAAATAAGTTAAAAAAAAAAGATGCAACCAAAAATTGGTTTTGGTCTCAAAATGCTGATCAATTTAATTGAAAATTTATAAAAAGAAAGCTGTCCCAAAAAGGGGAAAAAAAAAAAGAAAACTAAGCTCAACTTGATGATAGTAAAAACTCTCAACTAAGGTTTCTTTTGGGACGGCTTTTTCCCTGCTTCTTGAAGCGGCTTTTTATTATAAAAATTAAAAGTTTTGCACTAGAAAGTCATTATAAGAATCAATAAAAAAGCCATCCCAAACAAAGCTTAAAAAATCTTGAATTTGAAACTTATTTATATGATATATGTATGAATTGACATTAACTGAAAAATTAGAACTTCCTATGACTCAATATGGCCCGCCTAATGTACACCCACACAAAATCATCGTTAAAAGCAGAGTTGCCCACAACTAGAGCAGTACACAGGCCCACTGTCCCAAACAAAAAACATGAATGACAAGGTTAAGAAATTAATGTCAATTGGTTGAGAGCTTAGTCTTCCACAACTCTTCTTGGCCTATTGGTTGAGAGCTTAGTCTTCCAACTAAGAGGTCCAAGGTTCGAGTCTATGTGTATGCGTTGTGTGTTTTTAGATTATTAATTAAAGTTATATATTTTATAGGTTATTGCCCATCATAAAAATAGATATATATATTAATTTCATTCATACATGCATTCATAATAGAAATTTTTTATTTTTTATGAATGCTATTAGTCATATTGACCTTTTAACGCTCATGCATAATGTTGGTTTAGATGTGAACTTTTGAACTTTTTTTTAATATAATATATAGTAATAAAAAGCATATTGAATATACATTGAAGATGTACATTTTCTTTTTCTATGCATATTTAGATTTCTTTTGGAACGATTTTCTTACAATTTCTTAAAACTATTTTTAGTATAAAAATTTTTTAAACCCAAAAAGCAATAAAAAAGCTGCCTCAAACGAAGCCTTAGTAATTTAGGCTTCGTTCGAGACGACTTTCTTAATGCTTCCTAAAACAATTTTCTAGCAAAAAATTTTAATTTTTAATTAAAAAACTACTTTAAGAAGCAACAAAAAAGCCATTCTAAGCTAAGCCTTAATATAGCAAATCTGTTAAATTTGAACAACTAGAACTCACTCACTCAATTTGAAATATATATTTTTTGTTTGCCATTTAGGATCTTAAGTAAAACTCACACACACATCACATATACAAGAGTCTAACCTAAGACTTCTTCATTGATAGTTAAAGCTTCCAACCAACATATTAAAATGAGTTTCATAATTTTTAAAATAAATCAATTGAATATTTCAAAAGGAGACACAACACAGCGAAATAAATAGATCCTCATGCTGAGAATATATAACTATATAGATTAGGGGTGCAAACGAGTTGAGTGGTCAATTTTTTGCTTCAAGAACAAGGCATAAAAGTTAAAATTCAGCCTAAGACGGCACAAATTAATTGCAAATACTGAAAGCAGCATTTTCACTGTCAATTCCAATCAACATCCCCTTATTAATTATTACTTTAACTGTAGACCTAACAATCTCGTCAGAACGGAATAAAAACGTAAAACAAATCACCCATTTCCCCAATCAATTTTTGAAAAAGAGAAGAGGAGTAATGTAATTACCATGAGATTAGAAAGGGCTCCGGCAAGCTATTGTGCACGTTTATGATCAGATTATCGTTAGTAACCGAGAACACGTCCGGGCCAGGAAACTGCCCATTGATTAGTATTCCCTGCAACAATCCCGCCCAAGACGCAGAGGAAGAAGAGCACATCAAGATCTCAAGAGAAGAATGCGGGTAGCAATCGAACGAAAGAGAAAAAGAAAAAATCAAGGAAGAAGATAAGAGAACCTGCTGCTTAATTCCGAGAGGGTAAATGTCGCCGTAGGTGACATTCCAGTCGAAGAAGCGGTAGGGATCGTCGGCTAGGGCGGAGATGGGGATCCAAATGAAGCAGAGAAGCGCAGCGAGCCCTGCCATGGCGTTCCGCTCTGTAGATCCGAATGGTACAAGATAAGAAAGATGAATGCGGATGAGTGGAGGGGGTGAGCGAGAATGCTACGCCCTGTAAGAACTCTTTGTGGGGAGGAGCGAGGGAAAAAGTGGGAAGGAACTGTTCGGTTTTAACACGGGGGTGGGCGATTGGCCGTCATAGGGCCGTCCGTATAAATAATAAATTCGGTGTTACACACGCGACGCGTTAATGAGACGTGGTAGCTTTCGGGTGAGCCTTTGAAGCAAGTTTGGCTTAACTTGCACCGCAGCTGGCCGTGGCGGAGAAATGAACTTCGGGACTAGAAAATTACAAGGAGCGCTTACACTTCTAGCGCACTGACGGGCTGCTTGGCGCTCTGAAGAAGTAAGATTCAAAAAATTCCGTAAATCCGAATTTACTATTCCAAGGTGGTTAAATTCAAAAAATTATTGGTAAGAAAATATTAAATTCTGATTAATTTTGTTAAAATTTATGGCAGCATGGCTCAGGAATTAAGGCAGTTAAATTATTGAAATTTTAAATTTAATTTGTGTTATAAATAAATACAAGTTACTTTTTAATTTTAATTTTAATTATCAACAATAAATTATAATTATAAATAATGTATTAAAAACTAACTTAATTATCAAAAAATTAGAAAACTAATTATAGTACTAATTATTCATTATTTATTTAGATGTTATTTTAATAAATATTTGATTACTAATTGCATATTTGCATTGATAATTGATATATCATAAAATATTATCTTGATCGGGCACAAATATCAAGGCATATCCGAGTTAGAAACTTTCAAAATTAAAGTTGGAATCATCTAAGCTCTGATTTAAATAAACTTATAGTCGAATTGAACATCTAGAAAAGATGAACCTAAAGACAAAAAATTGATTCAATTTGAGCCCAAATCAAGGGTCCAAAGCATACTTAGATGGTTCAATGCATTAATTGGATGACAAGATGATTATCAAATATGGCATGCTTACATTCGAATCTAGCAGCTTGACGATACGAATCTAATGAGCCCAAGATTGCTTAATTTTGACATAATTAAGGTAGATAAATGCTTGATAAATGTTTTATGATCAAGGGAATTACTATTAGCTGTCTGATGGAACACTCCCAACATTCCTTTGATCTTCTCCATATTTATAAGTCATGCCACTCCCACAAATTATAAATAGGATCTTATTCTTCACATGAAAGAGGAGAAAGAAGAGAAAATGCTCTTGGGCTTAGAAAATTCTGAAGCTCCACCCCGGCACCCACCACCAGCAAATTTGATCAACAAGGAGGCCATTGTTGAATCTTCCCCTAACCATCACCATCAGACCACCATTTGACAGTCATTGAAGGTTCTTCTGATCATTGTCGCACAACTATGGTCCTTCAGATCACCCTCGTTCATCAACTATTGTCCTTCAGATCATCGTCGCCCAACTATGGTTCTTCCGACCACCGTCACGCGATTACAATCCTTCTGACCTCCATTGCTGGCAACTACGATCCCTCTGATCATCGTCCCTCAATTACGGACATTCCAACCATTCTTACCTATTGACTATGGTCCTTTTGATCATCATCCGATTTTGAACCTACTAACGAAACGAACAAAATGACCTCCAACTACGTAATGTTATCTATATGTTATATATTTGCTACATTGAGCCAATGTTATCCTATGAGGATGGGCATCGATTGTTATAGACGACAAACCCTAGTGGATTCATTCAAATTGGGCAATACCCCATGGGTTTTCACTTTTTTCTAGAGTTTTTATGTAAAAATTCAAATGTCTCGTGTGAATGAAGTACCCCTCTATCTTATATGTTTGTGTGTTAGATCTTTGTACAAAGCTCAGACGCTAAACTTTGTATATCTCTAACATCGAGAATATTCCGTGATGCAACAATAATTATATAATTATTAATTTAATTAATTTAATTATTATGTGCAATAAACTAAGTCGTTTAAGTACTCCGTTACTAATATAATATTATTGGTTGGATTTGAAGTAACAAGAGGAGGTTGATATTTATTTTTCGACTACATTTTGCTTTTCATCATCAACATTTCTTCGTTGTTGTTTGACTTTGCCTGCTTCCCGTGAGGTAGAGTTTTGAACGAGTCATTGAAAAAGCTTATTCGCCTCCTTCAACGATGTTCCCTTCTTGTTGGATTGGAAGTCACTACAGTTTGATGATGTTCTTTTTATTGGATTAGAAGAATGATGGGAGCTTGCTCGTTATGAAGGTAACTTTCTTTCTCTTCTTTTATGCGCTTCTTCAACCAAATCTTACGCATGCTATGATTTTTCTCCATGAAGAGCAAAAAAAAAATATTTGGTAGAAGTTCACACATTTTTGGAGGTGATTAAGGCTTATAGTCACTCTCAATGGTGAGATTTTGATATTCTTTTAAAAATTATGTTGACTTTTCTAGTCAAATAGATTGAATTTGGAGACGATCAAAACTTAAAGTCCTCACATTGAGGCTCATATCTCCCTTTAAAAATGTTGTGATTGTCCTCATTAGATAGACCAAATTTTGAAGCAATAAGGTTTATAATCCTTACACCAAAGCTCAAATCTTCTTTTGAAAATGATATTAAGTCTTAATGAAAGTAAGATAAGCTAACTTATGTAAATTTGGTCTTAATGAAAGTAAGATAAGCTAACTTCAAACCAGATAACCCCTATGTAATTTTTAAATCAATGCTATTAAGTCTTAATGAAAGTAAGATAAGCTAACTTATATGGAGAAAATAATTCTTATGATAGTGCTTCGTACGAGAGATGGCATACTATGCATTTGAGATTAATCTTTATGAAAATGATAATTATAATTCCTATTACAAATATTACCATCTCATAGCCTAGCATGCAATATGACTACACATCAATTGATATTTATCAATTAATATAATATTCATAACACAAGCCACATAGCCTATGCTATGACAGTAAGGTTACAAAATGGAATGATATTCATTTTATATTTTTATAGTTTTTATTAAAAAAAAAAAAAAGTGGTTGAGTGGTTGAAGGATTTTGAAAGAATTTTGTCCATTTTAACTTTGTGGAAGGTTGATCCTAAGTGCCTACTTTAATGCCCATGACATTTCATAGTAGTAAAGATAAAAATAATAAATCTCTAAATAATGCTATGAAAGTGGTAAGAAGATAGCAATTATTTACACAAAATAGCAAACAAAACAAAATAATTCTCACTAAGGTTTATAATCTAAATTTTAAGGAATTTTCTTTATAACATATTGTATTACACATTACAAAGAGCACAATACAAAAATTATTACATGAATAAGGGTTATTCTACTGGATTATAATATTATAACATTTATTACAAGTCATTTGAATATTCATTAGTGACCCTTATAACTAAGTTGGCCATCTAATGCATATCCTGGACAAATTCTACATGAAAATAAAATAGATGGGTTTACGTACATTTATGCTTGCATGTTTGAGTATATATATATGGTGTAATAATATAGATTATGCAAATTGTGTATTCATAAAGTTTGATTTAAATGTGCATATAGGAGGGTCAGGTGATTAAGGTTTCATTTAGGATGATTTTTTTACTGCTTCTTAAAGCAGCTTTCTAATAAAAAAAATTATTTTTGTACTAAAAAGTTATTTTAAGAAGCAGTAAGAAAGTCGTCTCAAACGAAACCTAAGATAAAGAGATATAAGTCAAATGACAACAAATTATTAAAGTAATAATATGGAGAAATTCTAGAGGGTGGAACCTAATTATGATTATAGTCAACAAGTTGATAATAGATCAATGAGCAGTTGAGCACATGAGTTCTTGATAGTTATTTCTTATGGTAGGAGAAGTGTTTGATTAGGAGAGTGCTTTAGTTGTTTTTGGTATTTTATCTTTATTTGTTGTGGAACAAATAAGTTAATAAGGTGTAATTTTCTTAGAATGGTACACCAAAAAAAAGATCACATATTGCATCAATGCTTGATGAAGCAAGTCAGTACTTTATATCTCTCTAATTATAACTATAAATACAACACAATATACTTATAACAACACCTATATTTGAAGGCCTTGAAATCATATGCTTTCATTTGAGACATCTTTTTTATTGTTTTCTAAAAGAGATTTTTTGTATAAAAAATTTTGGTTAAAAATTTTTTGTATAAAAAATTTGGTAAATATTTTTTTTGTACTAAAAAAATATTTTAAGAAGCAGTAAGAAAGTTGTCCCAAACGAAGTCTAATTCATTAGTTGCATGTGTCCTTGAAAGCTACTTTTGCGGCAATAAAAGTTAAATGTATTTATCTACACTAAAGATTACTTTCTTTGAAAGGGTTCAATTTCAATGATATGGTTTTCATTCAAAGTAAACATTTAATAAACTATGTTTGTTTAAATCAACTGGTGTGTTAAGACACCGACCACGTGTCACTTGTATATTGGCCAACAAGATTACCGTTAACTACCTGTACCTTCTTTCTCTAAATTGCTCTATATATTGTATTTGTAATTCGAAACTGAAGTAATGAAAAGAGTTTTATTTTTCTTATCTCTCCTCTGTTCCTGGCTTCAAGAAATTCTGTCCTGTTCTCTACCGCTCCTCTTCTCTTTTCATCAAAAGTTCACATGGTGAATAATATTACGGCGATCCATAGAAATGGTTATTTTTCCTTTAAAAAATGAGAAGGCTCTTGTGCTGCCAGGATGCAACATTGAGCTCTAGAATTTTTGGGAAAAGAAAAGAGGGCGGCAACACTAAGGCTCTAAGCACTATTGCGCTAGGTTTGAAAGTTTATTTTAAAATAAAATATCTAGAACCATTCACTTAAAGCCCTCTTCAATTTTTCCCCCTCCCCCATTTCATTTTTCCTTGGTCGAGAGAGAATAAGAGACAAAGGGGTGAGAGGAAGAGAGAAAGAGGAGATAGAATTGATCCAGAACATTTTCATTCATCACTCTAGTTGAGAAAAAGTATTTTGATTACGGTAGGAAACCCAAATTATATTTATATTTTTAATGATTTTGATTTTTTGGATTTTTATCTCTCAAAAAAGTAATTAAAATGTAATATCTCTCATTTTAGTGATTTCTTATCATGTAACTTTTGATAGGTGATAGATATCGTTACCATAAGCATTTTGACTAATCAATATTGAAATTTCACTAGTGGATTTATTTATATGTTATTTTAATTGAAATTAGTAGGGAAATATGAGTATAAAATGATCTGAGTCAGCATATTGCATTTGAACATGAAATACATGATGTGCTTATATTTACTAATTATTTAGTTCAGCATGAATTTTT